AAAACTATGTAAATTATAATTCATCCATATACTACATTTTTTATTAGAACGGAAAAAGTTCTTATCAATTTTGGATAATTTTCACGTAAAAAGACAAAATTTTTACATCTCAATTTATCATATAGTAAAATTTTAAAGTCTAATAATACGTTTGAAAGTGAAATTATTTCAAATATCGATACTACGGTTGGTATTGGTTTCTTATATTGGTTTAGGATTAGAGATGATTTATTTCCCATTAAGAACAAAGTTCACTTCACTTACATAGGAAACTTAAACTAATAACATAAAAATAAACATTTATAAAGTTAATGGTGACCTTATTTATTTAAACATTCAAATATTATAAAGTTTGACAGTATGTTTTTAATTTGGCCTTAAATTTCAAAAAAGATTTTTCGTTTAATATTTCTTTCGGTAGATTATTGTACATTAGCGCTCCCTCAAATTGTATAGTTTTGTTACCATAATATTTAGTTCTAGACTTAGGTATTGGTAATTTATGTATATTTCGTGTATAGTGTTTATGTGATTTAGTCTTAAAAGTAGTTTGTGTGTGTATAGATCCTGAGAGAATTTTTCTTATAAGTATGCATGTTTTTTATTTGTAGAATTATTTCTTTTATACCATAAACTTTTGTGTTTTCCAGTTAAGTGAAAAGCTATTGAATAATGAAAAGTCAAAACACAGCGTTACTCTTAAATCTTAAATTTAAAACTCTAAATTTATTTTTCTAGTAAAGCTTTTTGGTATTTCAATTAATTATTCATTACAGATCTCCTTCTTATATGCATATTATTTATATTCTTTAATTTATGGGATGGCATGAGTAATATTTTGATTTAATAACTTTAACCATCACCGTTCTGCTTACGATTTTAATTTCAGGTCTAACGTATTTATATACTTAATTTAGGCCAGAAATTGCTCGTTAAATTAAACGTACGTATATCAGGAAACGTTCTCACTGACTGGCAATGAATATCTAGAATGAAATATTCATAATATAAAAAAACACGTTTCTATTTAATGTGGTAATAAATATTACATTTTTATAAATATATTCAACATAACAATTGTTCAATTTCAGTAGGAAGATTGAAATACTAAATGCAATCGTCTTTTTTAATTTTTATAATTCTCTGTTTAGTAATGAAACAATTAGTTTATATGAGACATGTTTTCCTCATTTACTACTAGGTGGTTCTGCAAACATCTGAATGATTTATGATTTAACATATTCTAATTGCAACTATATGCCGTGGAACATAAACCGTTGTTTAGAAAAAGGGTCACCATTCAGATTCCAAGCACCCGATAAAATTTAAATTGTATAATTATTTGTTAAGATATAAAATATCTAAAAAAATATATATTTTTTCTATGGACATCAATGACTAAGTTCAAGATATACCTATGTTACTTTATCTGGAATTATTAAAAAGAGACGTTGATTTACGTTCATTGGACATCAAAGATTACCGCCGCAATCAAATTCTGTAAATCGTATTACTGATTTTGTTGTGACACGAAAAATAATTGTTTTCACTGAATTGTTTTCATTTATTAATTTTTGACCAAAAAAAAGTGCAGTATTGAGTATAGAGATGTATTTATGTTATTAATATGCTAGACATCTCGTAGGTTTATTTTTGTTTCATAAATCTATGATAAACAAGAGATAAACGTTAAAGATCAAAGAATTGGTTTGACGTTGTGTTGATATTTAAAAAAATATTTTAAATATTTTAAAACAATACTAGTAAAAAAGAAATATAATGAGCAATCAGAGTTTATTATATATAGTATTGGAAATAATTAATATCAAGACAATTTTAGAATATGATTATTAATATTTGTCAGTTTTATTTTATTATAATTTTCTAACACTTTCGTTCATACCAAAATTCTATCTTAAAGATATATTTAATATAATATGCACAAGATAATTCACTCAACTGACGCACTTGACCCTGCTCTACATTACATATTGACTAACTGTTAACATGTGGTGGTGTTTGGATATGCAACAGAATCTCGCTAAGTCTATTATAAGGGCAATATAGGTTACAATAACAAACTAGATTATATTCAACTGCTCCACAAGATTTCAATAAATTCCATAAAATTTGCTTTTTAAGTACTAATATGTTTGAAAATTGAAAATAGAACTGTAAATGTCATGTAATATTATATGTTTCAGCTGTAGTTGGCAAAGTCAATTAATTTTATTATCATTTTGAAATTATGAATCTGACTATGGTGTAAGTAATAATTATAATTATTAATGTATTGACAAAATGTTGGATTAATTATATAATAAATTATCAATAATATTATATTTCAACATTATTGTCTAGTAGCTAGCGTATACTCTTAAAGAACAATCTTCCCACTATTATAAGCGTTTATTATTAGGAAGTAAGTGTGTAGTGGTTACAACTTATCTGAAATAGACTTTTATTGTCCTTACTGATTGGCAAGATTGCGAAATAATATATGTAAGTCATAAAAACAAGTAATGAAAGTATCTAGAACTAAACGTGATAAAGATATTTATTAGAACATTAAGAGTTCTACAAGGAAACTTAAATGATGTCATTTTTTTATGATGTTTACATGACAAAATTTTGTGACGTGGCCATATAGAGACAAAAATATTCATATATGTTTATGACATCTTGTATAGGTTGCCCTAAAAAAACGCTTTTATTTTATTTAATTTGAGGTAACTTGAATTGTATTGTTTGTCATGCTCCTTTATATATTATTGTTTAAAAATACACAAAAAATAAAATAAATAAAGGTTATAATGGAATAGTAGTGCTGATTGTGGTATAATTACTAAAAACGATGGGCAGATATATATAAATTTGAAAATAACCAAGTACAAGGAAATATTTAAGAAATTTATGTATACTTATTATCAAAATCCTATATATTTTATTTAATATTATATACAATTCAATTGGTTTTTATATCCGGAATAAAATACTGAATAATTTTCATACTTCATTTTCTAGTTGAAACAGAGAAGTTTGGCTCGTGGAATAAGTTTATCACACATGAAACGAGGTCAATCGTGTCTAAATTTGGCTCCTCAAAGTCTAATCTGTGGTTATTTCTGCTATATCCTAAACGTGTTTCACGACTACGACTTAATTCGTTTTCAATCTTACAAAAAATAATATTAAACTATTTCGTTTAATGTATGATTATAAACTAAATAATGAAACATAACTGGTTATTTTTTAAGACTGTATGACAGAGCTATATAAACTATTTTCTTTATATTTGTAATAATTTATGAAATAGCAGTAATATACAAAAAACAAACAGTATTAGTCAAATCGAAATAAAATATTAAAACACGGTACAATAACAATTGTTTGAATTATTATAATGAAATTCAATAAAATCATTATCTTTTTGTATTATTATTTTCGTAATAATATCTTGTTATGAGTTACTATTGAATCTAGAATTAACGATGATTTACTGAGATCAAATATTAGTTTGATCGTTTTGTTTAATTAATTATTAATTATAATTAGCCTGTACGTGATCAGTTGCTCTTGTTTCACAAATACAATAATTTTACTAACAAACGCCAAATATGTTTTATTAAATAAAAACTGAAGTACTTATCTACTTAGTTCCTATTTATTGAATGTTTATTTATTGAGATACCCTGACATTTTCTTTAAAATTTAAACCTAAACTATAATTTTACTCTGTGCTTCAGAACAAAGTTGCATTCTTTTATTTTCTAATGTTAGTAATTTTGGAAAGTCATTAAAATTGTTATCGATAATAATTATAGACAAGGAACACCTTAATTTTATTTTCTTCAAAAATAAAGAGGTTTCCTAAGGCATAACTTTACCAAACCACTTTAAATAAACCTCAGTGTGACTAAACAAACTTGATAAAATAATTCAATATTACACTATTTAAATTGTGTTTTCATTAAAATAGTGACCTTTGAAATCATGACACTTTCTGTAATAAGGGTGAGTCGCTTGAAAGATAAGCCCTAGGTAAGCAGTGAGAACATGTATAAGGCCTTTACTTTTACTTATTAATGCCTGAAAATTTTTTTAATATGAATTTAGCCAGCTGACATAATTATAAATTAAACGACATTGTTCTATACAGTATATAATCTTATAAAACAATATTTATTTAGTTTCTTCCTATCGTGTGAATATATATGTTCATATACTTGTCCTATAATATAAAGATGAACAATGATACCATTAATTAGCAATGGTGGGAACCCGTTGATTAAAATTCACAATTTGCACTCGACTTCTGATGAAGAGTGAGACACCTAATCAAGGTCAATTGGATCCATATTCATATGGTGATAAATGAAAACTTTACAAAAAAATAAAATAAAATTTTATTTATATAAATTCAAATAAATTACGTAGTATTTTATGTTAATGATACAAAATAAAATTACCCTAAAAATTTACATAATTTTCAAAGTAGAAATTGTCAAGAAAATTACGGTTCTCAATTTGTTGCCTTAAGCATTTCATCTAAGCTACTTAATCAAGTACGTGCTCGAAGACGCTAAAAAATATATCTCATTACGATTTGCTTAATTTGTCCGTAAAATCCACAACCTTGAGACATTTTATTAGAATTCGTGTCTCAAAAAGTTGATGTTAAGCGTAATAGTTATATTTAGTTAAGCGTAACACTTATAAATATAAGTACGGAAAATCGCATAGGTTCATATTTTCTTCTCTACTCCTTATCCTTTTTATCACAAGAATTATAAATGAAAAATTTTGGGTCATATATTTAACTTAAGTGTTTTTTTTTTGGTTAATTACCTACTATCCTCAAAATAAAAACATATAATCTTTGTTTTCAATACCAATAATTTATTGCATGATTTTTTTCTCTTATTTTCAGATATTAAAGTTGAGTCCAAAGTGTTTCAACAAACTATGGCTTGACAATCACAACATAAATTGTAGTGAACATGACGTGCCCATTCCGCCGCGCCTCCTCCCAGCATCAATTTGCAAATGGCGGCGGTTCCGGTAAAAAGTTGGAGTTTCGGTCTAGGCAGTCGTCGGTTCACCTTCCGGGTCCGGAAGAGGAGGAAGGGGAAAATAACACCCTTACACTAAAACATCTGAGTGAGGCGTTAAAGTTACTTACGGCACCAACGGTAAGCGTTTAGAATAGTCGCGTGTATTATTTACCGAGTTTATTATTAACTGCGTGATTGTTATTCTATAATAAAATATTTCTTTATTAGCTCTTATTGTAACTTTAATAAAAAGAGTTATAATTGTAACAGAATGGCGTTAATCTTTTATCGGTTTCATAATTTTATTTTTATCAAGATAAATGTTACTTTATTTTATTATCAACATCAATTGTTGTAATATAATGAATATGCAAAAATAGTCACGTCATCATTATTTTATTGTTAGTGCTTATATATTGATGTCTTATAAGTTAAAGTTCTTTATATCAAATAATTTTAACAGGATGGAAATTATTTTTATAAATGTTTCATTTAAGTTTTTGAGATTTATTAGACCACAACTTTTTCTTTACTAAGTATTTAAATTAAAAAAATATGTACCGAGCTATAAAATATTAAAAGTTGTATCGCTAAGCCTTAAAAGTCAATCTATTCAAGTTAGTAATAAAGCATAATTTACTCCCAGGTATAAAGATTTCAGAACTACATATATTCAAAATTAAAAATATAATTCAAATTCAAAACTATATTCAAATTTCAGAACTATATACAATCACAACCTTATATTCTTATAAAAATCGTTCCATTATCGTAACTGTTTTCAAATTTCCTATAAAAACATTACATGATAATGTAATGTTTGTAAAATAAAGCAACATTTTCCCTTGTCTATTTATCTTTTGAAGCAATCTTATAAGAGAGATGCACGCTTTGAAGGTTTACGTGGCTTATATGTTCCTGAATACTCACGATATAAATTGGTTTGAAATAATTAGTGCACAAAAACAAACATATCATTAAAACTTCGTAGCGAACATCGATAGTTCTTTTATTATTAGAAAACTGTGAGTGGAATCATTAAGTGAGTTCATAAACTATTTTCTGCAAACGCAGCCAAATTTAATTTAAAATAGTGTCTAACTTAAAGCTTCCTAAGGTTTTAAATTGAAATCACCGCAGTTCACTTATATTACCAATTTTATAAAATATAGATACAATTTTAGACATTAGAATTACAAAACTTTTTTCAAGTACATTTTCTTTGAATCTGCATATATTTTTATAATTATATACATAGTATAGTTATGTGAAAATTTAACAATATTTGAATATACAAAATATTATCAAAATATCATGGTCATTAAAAAGAGCGAATGTCTACTTCGTCATCAAATACTATATTAATGATAGCCAATAAAATTAAAATCTTTTTCATTACTTTTTCCAATAAATAATAAAAGTAACTTCATTGTTATTTATAGTGCTCATAAAAGGCGTTCGATGTTTTACTGCCAGGTTCTGTAATGGCAATGGACACATGATATCTGACTATACACTTTGTATTAAAGAATAATAACAACAGATGTCGTTAGTGTTTGTGATAAAAGAAACAATATGTCAATAAGTAGATTTTCATAACAAATTAAAAGATAAAAGTATTTTATTCAACATTTTGATCTGTCATACATAAGCGCAACAAATAGTTAATCCCACATGTACCTAAAATAACTATAAACTTTTTGATTCCGAAGTTTATTTATCACCTAATTTTCTATATAAATAATATGTATGCAAACGTCTTCACATAAGTATAAAGAATATTAACTAAGGTAGAAGAGTTCCTAATAATCTTTTAAATATACTCATATAAATTTAATAAAACGGATATTTAATGTAATGCTATGTAATGAGAACATCTAGAAACAGGTGGTGTCCAGGAAATTGAAAATGATAAGATATTGAACTGATAATAATTCCGACAGCAGCTGACGGTCTGAAATATATTTGAATTTAATTTCTTACAGGGTCTTATAAAATTAATTCTGGCCATTTTTGTTTCTTATTACTATTTAATTATATTAGTAGCGAACCCATAAATTTACTAGCATAAAAATGTTATGTAACCTTTTAAATATATTGATTATTATGCAGTCATTTTAAATACATATTTTTGTTGTTCTTGTAGTATAGTTACCCTAAAAATACACTAGATAGATTTGCATTTCTAGGAAATCAATCGCTAGACAGTCTTTATATCTGCTTAGGTCAGAATTTAATCCTTGAAATATGCACACAATTAGTTTCTGCCTACCACATTACTTTAGAGGTTTTTATGGTTACTTATTATACAGTGAACCATGTCATAAGACAGGTATGATACCTCACTGGTCAGCTCTTGACAAGAGTAAATATTTTTCTTGCATTTTTTCCACTCCAGAATCATATTCTGGAATGAGACTACTGAGACTTGGTATTGACTTGGTACACAAAACTCGTTTATGACCAAAATTTTTGTAATAACATCATTACAACTGTCGAAGTTCAGTTTGGGGTTGAAACTCATATTTGTTCGAACACTGTATTACAAACTCCAAACAAACGGTTTAGAAAGTAAAAGGTAACAAAATTCTTAGACATAAATACTTACCCAATAAAAATTAAGTGTAAACAGAAAATGAATTTCCATCTTTCTCAGTAGTATTTCTATAATTTAACACCTATTTTTGGACTAAGTACTGTTGTTTGATATGATAAATAGTTTCTAGCTGGTTTTCCAGCTTCAGCTTTATAATATTCATTAAAATTTTGTTGAATATATTATGTCATTAATTATACTACAAATTAAGTAATATATTATGCAAAGCTAGAAATATAAACCCTGTGGTATTGTACATACCTTAGTGCGTAATATAAATATTTTATTCAAACTTTGTTTCCTACCAACTATAAGTTAATAAATAAGTTGTGTAACTTATTATTTATTAATTCTTAAATATTTACTTGCGTTGATACTAAAATACTTTTTTCCGGTACACTTATAATATGTTCATGTTCTTTTGCGTCTTAGGCTACTTTCACATTACACGATTTCTTATAAAAATTCTAAAGTCAAATACGAGGTCAAATAATCTTTCATTATACATATATTATGAATATAAAACGGCAACGATAATGTCAAATTTAATTAATCTGTAGAGTAATTAAAGACAAACATAAAAGCAATTAATTTCTTTATCAAAAATTAATCTGTTGGGAAATATTTACAAATAATCAAGGATGGATCAAAATATTAATTATCGTTTTCGATACACTTGTACGTATATCTACATATTGTATATATTATCATATTATGAATTATAAACAAAGTTATTATTTTGAAATATATTAGAAATATTCCTTGGGTTTTAAGAGCGTGTAGAACATAAAACTAAAGTTGTCTTGTCGATAACAAAAGCGTGTGCAGGAAATTTGATTTGTCATGGAGCGGCTGTAAAGCATACGCCATTTTTATGACGCTCTTAAAGTATAAGTTCTAATAAAAATATTTTTTTCTTTTATAAATAAAAATGTTCGGAACTTTGAAAGGGATCACTTAAGTAGGATCTCTACAGAGGCAGTATACATACATACTTAATGTAAAGTGATTTATCATTTTGAAACATTTAAACATTATTATTAAAAATTAAAGATAATTCCACATGTTTATTCCACATTACTCTCAAGGTTCGTTAATAAGCTTAGAATCTTAGAGTTCTTGTGCTAAGAAACTTTTGATTGCTTCTAAACTTTTAATAGGCCAGCTGCTTCAGTGCCCTCCTTGACTTTCTGAATGTATATTACACTGTTCAAATTAAGAAATTGGTTCAAGATATTATCATTACGTTAAAGTTTCTGGTAATCTATGTTAGTGATGCGTTTGGTGTTTAGTGAAAGATTAAAGATCCGAGGATTTTATGAACATTTGTTTAGTAATTTTGGTTTCAAAAGTAGTATTCTCAAATATTTGTTAGTCTCCATAAACTTTAATCTAAAATTTCTTCAAAATAACGATCAAAACAATGTTTCACCTAACAATTTTAGTCTTTTCTCTTTGATATTATAAGCAAATACTTATTGTGCAATTTTATTGTAAAAATATGAGTATGAAAATAAAAAGAATAAATTGGACGACATCAATGATTTGGATATGAAATGCATAAAAGTCTTAAAACAAAACACGTTAATGTTTTAAAAACAATACAACACGACACCTGTAAAGACATCAAACGTCGAAGTAAAACAATGTAATCGTGTAAAACATAATTCTCTTACAACACCGCTAATGGGCTCTTTGTACACATTAATCCATCATTCTAAACTGAGCACTTTAAACAAAGAAGTTTACTTACACGCTTCTATTTGAATCCGCGGTTGCTTTATAAATAATTGAGATTTCTGTGGAAGTACAATATGCGTTTGTAGTTCAAGGGACGTTTTAACAAGCTTCTATTTTTTTATAGCTGGTTTCAAAACTGTTTTGTGATTTAATTTTCTATTTTTGAACTATACTCACGTGACATGAACTATTTTCGTCTCTTTGGTTAACAGGCATAAAATAATTGTGTTATTGGGACTGTATTGAGATTGATAAATTGGTTATTGATTACAATGACAACAGTATATATTATAAAGTTTTTCGGTTACTTAGTTTTCCGATTGTAGGATTTTAAAAAAAGATTTGTTTCATTGATCTTTTTTTATAAAAATTGATACTCAGTATTTTCGTCTCCATATTGATTTTAAAATATAAATACGTCCATCATTTAAGAAAAATATTATATGAAATTTAATACGTGCTAAAGATATACAGAAATTTTAATACTTGTGTTACCATCAAAGATTTTGGTGCAAAACCTATTTATTTCACCTAACCAATACGAAGAGATCAAAATACTAACTGCATAGTTTTCAAAATAGAATCCGCTCTGAAATTCTGTCAGAAAATTCAAAGGTAAAAGCTCACACAATACGGGTTAAAATAAAATGTTTAGCTCAGTGGAAGCAACGCTTTAATATTTACACCCACCGGATATACGAGTGCAGTTTTCTCGCTCCTGAAGTACTGTATTACAAAATTCAATACCCCTTTCCTGTTTAAGATCTGGGTCACATGAAGTTATTGCTTGTCAATTTTATTAAAATAACAGATATCTGCTTGAATATTGATTATAAAACATTTGAGGTTTTTTGTTTGCTACATATATGCCTATTAATTTAATTTCGAAAAAAAGGAATAACAATTTAAAGGCAATCTGTTGCTATTAAATCTGAAAGACAAGCGTTTTATATTTTTTATGCTTCCGCATTTGATCTTCATTCAATTTCTTAAGGTAAACCAATTTAGTACAAATGACAATTTCTTTTTATTATAAACAATATTTCCATGTAAGACAAGTTTAAAGTATTGAATTAAATCGTCGAATACCACGGGTTGTATGAATTTTTCAAAAGTTCACGCGATTGTTATAACCTCTACATGACAGTGACAAATAAATTTTATATTTATAAACGTTCACACTATAACCATTCTGCATAAGATAACAATTTTATAATAATTGAAGAGAATAACTAAGATCAAGGTACGGTTATATGGTACATTTAGTTTCAAAACAAGATAACGGTCGTTAGAGTGATGTAACTCATCTAAAACAATTCTCAAGTTGTAAATCAACGTTAATTGCAGTATTATCAGATGGTTTCCATCGCGATTTGATTTTAATGGTCCGATTGTCATAACAGCAAACGATCAATCGTTCATAGTTGATTGGCAACATCGAACAGCAAGGTAAATTACATACTGGCTGAAACGATTTTGATGAATTAAATAATTTGGAGATTTTAAATTTAGAGTAAATGGTGTGTTTTTGAACCAGATTTAGAATAAAATACTGAGTATATATATTTTTTGTTATAATACTTGATCATTTGAACACACAATTTTATTTCTTTCTATAATTTGGTTTTAAAAACATTGTAATGATTTTATAAATTTAATTATGTAATTGAAATCTTCTCAGCATTTATCATAATGTCAAAACGGATATATTATAACAGATTTATTTATGTAAGGTAAAATATATGAAAAATAAAAAGAAGAAAACAAATTAAAATAAATGGCTTGGCAGGACCAATAACGTAACCCCCTTTAGCTATAATGGTTTCCCAATGGTCCCATATGCCATTATTATGATAAATGATTTCTATAATTGCTTTGTACAAAACACATATATTGTCTTTGTGCAATAAATAACGGATTTTATTTAACACTTTTGCAATAAGTATCAAAAACTATTAATAAAAATAGAATGTTGCCTTAGAGGAATGAGGGTTTTTGAGATTTTCGCTGTAGAGTAGATGGCTTTAGTTTCTAAAATATACAATGTTAGAAGTTTTTAAAATTTGAAATATAAATAACATTTCTAAGATCTCTCACATATTAATGGGGGTAGCTATACATATATTTTTTAAAGTAATAATTATGTTCTGTACTTTTATAGAAAGTGTGTAGAAATATTTCAATTACTCAAAATTCCCACCTTCTACATAAATGTAATTTTACACTTATTATATGTAGAAATATATGTCTATTAACGGTGAAAATAAACGTCTAAAATAATACATATGTACTGAATTGTAACGAGCAGAACGATTTCACCCTGATCATTTCAGATTTCGTGCACTGATTTTTGATTCGCTCATTTTAAACATGTTGAATACCTACAAAATAATATTTTATATTTTCTATGAAAATAAATTGAATTGAATTGAAATAAAATTGTTTCTGTAATCTTATCAGTTGTCGTCGCTACACCATATACATGATAGTATTGTCATGGGTGTTTAAGTTTTACTAAAAATACAGTAAAATACTGTTTATTACTACGCAAATATCTAATGGCATTTGCCAACAATTAAATTACCTTGCTTTACATTCATATGTACTACTGACATACAATTTATAATCCACTTATATCTCTCTCTGTTTTATTTTTTTTATATTTGCATTTCTATTTTTATTTTAGTTTTTAATCTTAAAATATGTCTGAAAGAATGGCAAAGATAACTTTCAAAAGAAATTCCTCTTTGAGACTCAAATCTTATCTCCAAACATGAAATAACATACAAAGAGAATTAAAACTTGAACAAGAAAGTTTTAATTCCAGCTATCCGAAACAGAAGGATAATTTATATTTTAATTGATCTGGAATAAATGTTTCTGTTAAATAAATTGTTATTTCCAGGAAATTAAGTTTTTAATTCAGAAAAATTTGGTAGTAATTATTAATGTTTTTTGTTAATTATGTGAGAAACAACCTCAAATTGGAAAATAATAATGCATATAAAACATTTAAAGCTTTTGTCAATTTTCAGATGAACATGTTTGTGTCAAATATAATAAATTTTACTACAAAATAAAATATACACAATTCTTTTCAGGTAACTCTTTGTTTATATTAAATCATTTGAAAACATAAAAACTTGTGTTGCGAAATGTTTTAACATCAAGCCTTTGAAAATGTCATTTTATCACTTGTTTTTCCACCTTTTTTTATAAACAATTTGATATGGTCGGTTAGGTTTTATGCTATATGTTAAAGTGTCTTTGAAATGTTATGACGCTTTAAACAATACTGTTCATAAAGGATGTTTCAGTTCCGGTTAAAACGGAGAGTTAAAAAATTATTAATTGATACAAAGAGTCTGTATGCTAGTGACATAGTTCATCTATTTCTATAAAAACCATTCTGCTTAACGGAACATGTTTCATTTAAAATTCAACGTTAGATTCTTGCTAAAAGAGATTAATAAAAAAATTTAAATTGCTTGTGAATTATTGTAATTGTAATTGTAATTGAGTTGGTCGTGAATTATTATAAAATTATAATATTTTTTTTATTTAAGTTCATATCTAAGATAGATATGAACATAAACATAAATAAATTGAAACAAAAATAATTAATGAATTTAACAACAATTTACAAAAAACATATTTGTGGTTTCAGACTATAACGCTAAGCTGTTGAAAGACTGTTTATGTATTTTGAGACTTATAACAAACTTAAATAAAAAAATACGTGCTTATTTTATCATTTTGAAAAACGTATAATGTATATCTTTTTAGATATTTAAACATAATCATAAGCTAGGATATCGACAATAAGCCTCGTATCAAAAGTCAAATAAAAATAAAATGTGTTTTTGGTAAAACTTTACTGAATTCAACGCTTTAATCTGTATTATCATGTCTTTCTAGAAAATGTTGATGTTTGTTATCTTGTCCATTAGTTACACGATATGGGATATTGGTAGCCACAAAAGGAATCCGATATTCCTTGTCACTTAAGGTTTCCTATTACGCATCGCAGTCATGGAAGATTTTGACCGCAAGGAAAAATCAAATAAAATTTGCGTTACTAAAACTCCTGAACAAAGATACCAAAATAATATCAGTCAAAACGTTTTATATTTAAAGTAAAAATATTCAATATGATAAAACTACTATTTGAAAAAACAATAGTAATAAAATAATATTTAATTTTACTTACATTTAATTACTACATATATACTTTCAAGTATTTGATACGATGCAAAAGATTGTAGGAAGCCTAGTTCCTTAATTCAGTTTCAACTATTCACGAAGTAAAATAGGTCGACTAGTACGGCTTCTGTCCTGCGTCATTCACATTCAATAGCGTTTCTAGTTTATACCGGGAGGCTTTCCTTTCGTACCAATTAGAGTTATCACTGAACTCTGAACTTCACCGGATTACATATGACCTGTGTTTGAACCAAATATCTTTTAGTAAGTGAAAATTGCACAAAATAGTTTTACTTTTATTATTATTTATTTAATGTTTTATTTTACTTAATTTAGTTATTATATATTACGACATAAAAGTTTACAATTACTGGATCCACTGAAAACAAAATAAAATAAGACGACAAAATAAAACTTGATAAAGCGATCCATCAAGCTAGCTCTTGATAATGTTGATTCATTTTTCAACTTTTCAAACAAACTTCATTGACCAACTTCAACACCCCGGCTTGGATGGTGGTATATTAATATAAGATTTTACTTTAACGTTTCAAGTAAAAAATACTTTTTGCTTAGTTTTTAAACTCTAAAATGTTTATGAAGCCGCTCTTTAAAGAAAAGAATTTTCGATTATTTATATATAACTCATAGACAAATTGTTAATATTATTTTCGTTTTAAAATAACTTACGAAACTATCTCATTTTGTAGGAAATATTCTAAATATATAAATCATAGTTAGGAGCGTTATATTCCTTTGAGCCCACTGCGTTATAACAAAGAAAAGGTTTCTATTATAATAACAGTATCGGTATAAAGATTCAGAAAGCCGTTTATCCTCTTATAAAAGCGTATAATGCTCCTTTGTTATTTGCTATAAAGTAACATTTTTAACTGCTGTTTTCCTTTTCAGAATGATTGCCTTCACGCCGCGGTGACGTCATTAACAAAGAACCAAGCCGAACATTACGACAAATACAATTGTCTGTGAGTACAATAAAATTCTAATTTCTTTTGGACCATTAACTCGTAATTAACTTAACGCCCAGATTATATTGAATTAACAGAATAATTTAGCCGTCGGCAATAAAACGGATAACATCATTCGTTGGATGGTTTACAATTTGATTCGCACAACCAAACTCATATAACTTTTAAACAATACAATCAAGTTTAAAACTTATTAGCATATCTTTCTTACTTCTTTAGATATGTGTTTCAATATCAATTGAATTTAACTCATATACTTCTATTTATAGATACCTGAATTATATTTTATTTGAATGTATATTATTTGCCGTCAAAACTAAAATAATATAATTTCTAATTCTATTAAAGTTTGTAGGTATATAAACATATAAAAAGACGTGGTATAAATTGGCTTTTTGTGGTTAAACTTTGCTCATTTAACAGGAGGAGATTACCAGATGACGTAAGGACGTGCAGAAACTATGCTTACCTACTAGAAATTTACGATGCGGTCCGAGCTACTGACAGTGAGTATTTTGTTTATGTAATCGTATCTTTGGATCTTATTTAAGAAGCTGATTTTACTATATTATTCCCAGACTAAAACGAAACTCAGACCTATGACATTTAGTTTATGAGAAAGTAACCTTGATAATATTTATTGATTTATCTCTAGCATCATTATAGAATATAATTAAAAATACTCAATGAACTTAAAATATATATTAAGAAAGTTTTTTGAATTTAATATTCTGTTAATAATTCCAATTACACTTTTGTTGTATTTATATTATAAATATTATATTTTTTTATTAAACAAACAAAAAAGATTGAATTTTTAGTAACAGATATTTAATAAGATTTGCTTTCTGATTTCATAACTATGTATATTAATTGAAGGCAAAATTAAAATCCCCAAAATTTAAAAAGAAGAAAAAATATATATATTGCTAGTTTCTTATCGAATTTATCTTATCTTATCCGATTTATCGAAAAAGTAATTTCTATTTCTCATTTTTATGGAAAAGCCACTTTAAGATGATATAAAACATAATAAGACAAGTATCTTATCAGTAAGAGTTAGCCTCCAACTCAATTATTTTCATCTGTAACATTTTGTGTTCTATCAAGACAAACAAATAACAAAGGGTCCAATGGGCAAACAATTCTTTTTTTTTTTTGTTTTTAATACAAAGTGGAATCCTTGTTGCTCGAAGAAAAGGAAAATATGAACTTTGTCAATTTTAAATTATGTCTTATATCTGTTATAAAACCACTGACGAAAAAAATTGGTGTTATAAGTTTAATGTCAATGTTTGTCTTTGTGCTATTATGTGAGCGTGTGCGTGTGTGAGTGTGTGTGTGTGTGTGCTGTCTGTCTGAGGTATGGTAAGTCTTAAATGAGTCGACCGATTTTAATTTCCATTTGATAACCAGTTTCCCTTCGGTGTTTCTTAGCAATGTTCGATGAATATTTGGTTAAATGCCGTGTTTCAATATAATCTTTAAATAAAATTCATTACATAGGTGCTTTATAAAATTTTGTTATTATCTGACGGAATAATTATTTCTTAATGACTCCAAACAACAAAAATTAAGATTAAAATAAATGTTTAAATATATATATAGTATCTAAATATTTCATTTGTTTTAGGTGTATCTACTAAGGACTTTATGGCAAAGTTAGGCGAGTATTTAATATTAACAGCATTTTCTCATAACTGTCGACACGAAAGGGCGTTCAAATGCTTAGGATCTAATTTAACAGAATTCTTAACGACTTTGGACAGTGTACATGACGTTTTACATGATCAGGTAAATATAGTAATCGATTTAATATAATTTGTTATGTAATCGGTATACTTAATTCTTTGCTTTTATAAGGATGATGCCTTAAAAGATGAATCGCCAGAAAACGAAGCAGCTTTCGTCTGTACAACATCTGATGCTGGTAGAATACAATTGCATTTAACTACCGAGAGTGAACCAGTCGCATACTTATTAGTGGGAAGTCTGAAGGCAATCGCCATTAAGCTATATGACACACAGACGGATATAAGACTAATGAGCTATTCAAACGATCCCAGGAAATTTAGGTAAGACGTGTTAGTTGAGTGAAGTTGGAAAATTTTCCATTATAAAAACCACGTTCTTTTGAAGAAATATATAAACGGAATAAAATATTTGTTATTAAAATTTATTTACTAACACTTTTCTTACCCCGTAGGTATGATATAAGTTCCATACCGTTACACCAGAGATCAAAGGAGGATAATTGTCAGGCAACGAGCGATGCTGTAATTCTTGCGTCATCTAACAAAGTGAATGATCTCAAGATCGGCGTCGCAAGCTTTTGCAAAGCGTTTCCCTGGCACTTCATTACTGATAAGCGATTAGAGCTTGTACAACTCGGTAAGTTCAGAAAATATTTTATTCATTTTGGTTGGCTATAGATAAAAATATAAGAAAAATAATGAATATGCCAGAGTGTACATAAAAATAACATGCTTAAATAAATTGTATAAAACTTTTTAATACATTAGTTCGCCAATGAAATGGTTGATACTATACAATTTCTTATTATTTCAAAAAAAAACAGTCTCTGCATAAAATATAAATATTTGAATTGGATGCCTTTCGTTGTATTAGAATTCTTTCAGCGATATTAACGTTTTCTTGTATAAAATATCACTTATTAGTGCTTTAAGACACATTACATAAAGATACTCATATTTAGGTACTCTTATGAGCAATATTTACTTTAATGTTATGGTTTCTTAAAGAAAATGCCATAGTGAATTAAATTCCTTAATTACATTGGTTAAAAAATATAATAATACCTACGTATCGTTCTATAACATATCATATATATTACATATATAGAATAACATTACTTATATGCGTATAGCTCTGAATTTAAACTTATACCTTCTATAAGAGTGAACGATAAATGTGAAAAAGTATTATTTTTGTTTAATCTATACTTATAATAAATCTGTAGAGCGATCAATTCTGTACATAAAATATATTTAAAAAATAACTATTAGGGATCGCCACTGATGCCAAAAATGCAATCAGTAAAATTTTTGTCTGTCTGTCTGTCTGTATATTCGTTATGGAAACAAAAACTACTGCACGGATTTAACGAAATTTGGCACAATTATTCTTCATACTCTTGGGCAGGTTATAGTATACTTATCGTTACGCTACGATAAATAGGAACAGAGCAGTGAAGGAAAATATTGGGAAAACGGGAGAAGTTACTCCATTTTTTAAGCTTTCGTCGCGTGTGCAGGCTTATACGTTAAAGCTACATAGAAATCGTGTATGAAGGAAATATTCTCCTAAAAATTATATAAAAAGTATTTCTCGACGGCATATGTCTATGTTTTATTGTTGACTCACAATAACACGTGAAACTCCCGATAGCTTAGCAATTCGGAGATTTCTGATTGTACATATTTGTCTACTCTAAGGTTTACAACACTATCACTCATCCCTAATTTAAAAAAGTTAACATTACTACCTATTTAATAAAAAAATAATCATGGAAATCGGTGTAGAAAAACACTAAAGTTATCTTCTTATATACTTATAATAAATCTGTAGAGCCATCGATTCAATAATTAATCAAGGAGTTACACGCTCACGGAGTGTCGATCACAGCTATCTGTATTTTTCTGCCAGAAGTTACTATTCCACGCGGACGAAGTAATGGGCAAAAGCTAGTTTAAAATATAAATGTGCATCCCAGATACGTTGCGGAAAATATTTTAAAACTATATATGTTATACTAAAAAAAGTATTATATGTAATCCATTTATACTTATATCAATAATAATAATTACACAATTGTTTCTGAAATAAATTATAGTTAAAACCGGCAATTACACATCACGGTTTAATTAAAGATTAAGTTTAAAAGTTTAATTTCAAAGCGGCTTCAAGGTTCTTTCATTATACATCAAAGAAAAATTTTCAAAGCTAAAACCTAATTAGTTCATTATAAAGGAAATGTGATATATTATATTTATTATACGTTTTTATTAGGTCACAGGAATATTAAATTACTTTATTTTAAAGTTTTCATTATCTTGTTTGACTCCTACTTCGCATTTTGAGGTAGATACATTTTTTTGTCCTCCCATTGAAGAAGTGACCTTGGATAAAAATAATCGAAAAATATGTAGATGTTTCGATGCAGTATAAAATTTTTGGTGTGATAAAGAAACTATGACAACCATTTTCCTATTTAATCTCGTTTCCCTTTTTGTTTGAATACATTAATAAATATAAGTAAGTTATTATGTTCTACGATGAAATCTTTGTAGCAACAAAATGTTTGAATATTAACACGAAATATGAAAATACTAACTGCTAATGACCTAGCGAATGGCCTTTAAAGATTTATAGTTATAATACTCACATTTTGCGGAGGCTTCGTTTAGACCTCTGCAAAATATCCAGTCGCAGTAATAAAGGTCATATCTTTCAAAGGTTTCACTTCCATTTTCCAGCGTAAAGCGTGAAATAGTATGAAGTCGAAGAGATATAATCGCATTAACATTCTAAAAAAAGGCTACGTATGTATGATCTAGCACACAAAGTAACTATTAGCAAGCCATTTATTCTACAATCCATCCTTATTATTTAAACGGAAAATAATTGTACTTCTAGACAAATTAATAATCGAGTATTATTTATTTTTGCTCTTGAAAAGATTGTTGCACCTGCAGAAAGGTTTATTGACCCAGTTTTAATGTAATGAAACAAGAATTTCAGAATAAACAATTTTCATAATAATCTATTTCTAAGATTCTTCATGCAGAGTTTAAAGTGTTACGTGATATATAAAAGGAAAAATCTAAGAGGCTTTGATTAATACTTCATTCCAGGATTCTATATATGTATAGAATATATATGTATATTCCGCTTATTAATTACAACACACTCTTATGTGCAAGATATTTCAGCATTATTCCACAAACCGACGGTTGTTTTAGGAAAGCCTGGCACAATGTACAGATTTAGAGATTTTCCATTAACAATTCAGCTTTTCCATAACAAGCCTTTAACTAAGACCGTGAGTTTAATTTACATAAATTTTCCCAGTCAATATACTAATAATTAGTTTCTAACGGTCTTGTCTTGACGACGCGTATTTTATTTAATCAAGAGATCCATGTTCTGTTTAATTAATTAAATACCTTTAGTTATACAAGTTATTAATAATCTTAAATAAAAAAAAGCAATAATATATATATTTCTGCTTCGACTGTGTTAATATAGATGTTTTAATATAGGTCAAAATTTACACTTATTCTTAAATAACATACAATACTGTTCATACAGATTTATAACATATATTGTCGTCTCGAAACTAGGGCTGTCCAGAAACGGTCCTACAATCATATAGCAAGAGTTGCGTCATAAAAATATATAAATTTTTTACTTTTCTCTTTTTTGAAATATGGGTTATATTGCATAGTATGAAAAACCTTTGAAAATTTGTAAATTTTTAGCAATAATTTTAATGAAAATTAATTGGGACAAATTACCTAGTGATTGAATTTAATTTTATCTTTAAAATCTATATAATATTTCAATTATTCATTTTTAAAAGTATATCAATAGTATGTATTTTTAAACTGCATTTAACGTATTGCTTACATTTCGATGAAAATTAACTGTGATAAAAAAATCAAATCGAACATCTATTGAAAATCTAATATCTTTCGACTTAGTAAACAATACTAACATACCACTACGGGGTATAACGAGTGAGGCGCATTTGTAAATGCACGACACATTCAGGATTTGGGGAATATTTAGTTCGGAGCTGCCAGTTTTTAGCCAAAACAGAAAATAAGACCAAAACATTTTTTCTTTCCGATGCTAGTCGAAATTGAACTCTCGGTGTACTTATCACAAAATTGAAATATGTATATATTCATGGCGTTATTGAATTATTTACACAGAAAGTTTCATATCCATATTGTTAGCGGCGCCCTAATAAGCTAAGCGTTTAATTATTTCAATCGAATCGTACTGTTTAATATGAATTATATTATTTTAGTATAAACTCTTTAATAAGCTTTGGATATCCAAAGCTTATTTAAATTTATATTGGATTTACACTATCGTTCCATTATTAATACAATAAAAGGATTAAAATAAATAGAAATCGTTCTGCTTCTAAGTCGAATGGAAGAATAGAAACGCCATTATTTCTTTGTTTTAGTGCCCATGAGCCCCAGTGATTAATTACAAGAACTGCGGGCTCGTTTGACGTTTCCTTTAGTAAAAAACATTGAAGGTTTTCCATTTAAATGGATATTTCACAAATAGCTAATACCATTAATTTACAAACCACCAAAGGAAATACTTGAAAGCAAAATAATTTTTTATTTATAAATATTTTAAATTACCCTAGTGGATGGAGCTTAAATACTGTATTAAGTATTTTCTAAGATGCTAAGAAATTTATTTTTCTATAAGTATTTTAAACTGCTGTGATATTTTTCAATATATATTTGAAAAGATTATTTATTTATTTATTTATTATTATGTAGTTACTTATTTCATTTCAAGTGTCCTTAATGTTATATTTCTATCTTAGGTGGAGGTTTCATGCGTTTGTTCGGAACGCATCTATCTTCACACGGGTCGTCACTTGGGACTTACTTCAGGTTGTTACGACCAAGGGGTGTCCCCCTAGACTTTCGCGAGATCCTCAAACGCCTAAACACTCCGTTTATGTTCTGTTTGAAGATTCCGGGATCGGCTTCTTCGGCTGAGGTAAGCATTCCTAGTTAACATTATTTGAAACAGAGTATCCATATTTATAAAAACTCTCTGATGATAACGATTTACAATTTTCGCGATGAAAATATAAATGAATGAATGAAAAAACACTGATGTTGGATACGCATTTTATATATTATTTTATTTTGACATTTAGATTAGATAAGAGATTGTGATCAAAGTGTGCGTTCTAGTAATGAAAAATCCGCCGAAGGAAAATTCCGTTATTAAAAAATTCACTCGGCGAAATTGCCAGCGCAAGTAATAACGGTTCCCAAAAGCAATCATAATGGTTCACGCTTCAAAACCTCATTAGAGGGTTTTCACCTCAAAATAGATTTCAATTAACCTATATTATTCAAAGCGATTAGGATAATAAATGATGCGGCATAATTCACCGGATCAAAGCCAACTGCGGACCCGAATGATGTATTACAAGCATAAGCGTAAATATAGGTTTAAGATTCCGAATACTGATTTGACGAGATAAATAACTGGCGAGGCAATGAGACACGGCTGTTCAGAAGTACATCACACACAATACTCAAAGGGGGTAATCTCATTGTTTACACAGAGAGCGAGAGTGGCAATGAGTTCCAGTGATATAGGTATAAATTTTTGTAACAATATTTGAAAGAATTATTTTACTAATTTTATATATGAATAATATGTATAAATTTTTTGTTCATTATCTACATATACACATATGTGTTTTCTGTATTAGTTTTAAAGTTGCTATTTTGGCCTGCTGACCATTCGAAAGAATTAACTTTCGTCTTTCTGAAGATAATATAATTATATTATAAAACATACATTATTCCCTAATATGTTAAACTAAGTCGGTTTAATTGTTAAAGGAATTAATATTTTTTTTTTTTTTTTTTTGTTGACGTAGTGGAAACTCTTTTTACGAGCCGTCCAACCGGCCTTGGTGGGGCCGGAAGGGATGTGTGAGGCTCGGCCTGGGCAGGCCCCTACTCACTAAAACCACTGCGAAAGCCATCGGCCGCTATGTCGGTGTACCCCGGATCTGTCAGCGACAGGGCACACCAGCGACTGGCCGGTCCTGGCAAAGACCGGACTTACTCCCTCAGAGCATGGGGGCGATCCCGGCAATTAGGACCACCCCGACGACGCCGGGCTTTCAAAAGGGCCGGGTTACCACGCCGACCCCAGCCCGGAACACAGGGGTGCTATTGGAGGCGTAGGAATTGCCTCCGACGCACCCCCGTACGTCGCCTGCGGGGGGAGGGAGCATCAGCCGCCCTCTCCCTTTCCCGCTGAGATGCCTCCTTCGTGGACATGACCGTCTCACAGAAGGAGGACACCGCCAACCAGGACCCATCACTCTCGAGCATCTTCTCCACGACACTCGAAAGCGACAGGTCCACTCCGCCGAGAGCCGCCACAAGGTCTTGGCGCTGCGCAGCCCATCTCGGGCACACCTCGAGGGTGTGCTGGGCCGAGTCCACCGCAGCGCCGCACTCATGGCAGCCTTCTCCCGGCTCTCTCCTGGCCGTCCGACACAAGTAGTAACCAAAGCACCCGTGCTCGGTTAAGACCTGCGTCAGACGGAAAGTGAGGGGTTTGCGTTTCCGCCTCATCCAACGCTCTAGGACCGGGCGAAGCGCTGCCGTTGTACGTCTACCGTACGGCTGCTCCGCCAGGTCCTCCCCCCACTCCCGCATAAGGCGCTCCTCCCCCTGCCGACGAACCGCTCGGATCTCCTCCGACGAAGGGTTCTCGCCGAGTGCCCTCCTACCCGAGACATAGGAGAACAACTCGGCTCGAACCGACGCCACGAGATCCCAAGGCGGATCAAAGGAATTAATATTGTCCATATAGTTGAAATTTCATATTGTACATTTTAATCATAAGCGTCAAATATCTGCTTTAGATATTTCAAACTAATTTCCTAGAAAAAAGTAATAGAAAATAAATATATTAGTAATTGAGTATCCACCACTTTTTAAAAATGTTTTATAAGATACAAACACAATATTAATTGTTTCACTAATTTGGTGTTTTATTTTAGCTAAAGTAATTAATATACAAAAATGAGTTAGAGCCACGATTTTCTTTAAACTTTTGATGCGCTTATCTCAGATAACTTATGGCAGTCCATGAATTATGGACGTAATTAATGGACAAACTTCGTTTTCGTTAATTTGTGCTTTATTATTTATTAACATAGGCAGCTGCAATAACACTTTCGGCCCAGTAATTTTCCAAAGGTATCTACATTAAAAACTGTTTGATAAAATTTATTATTATATACGAAAATTAGTCCTATCAGATAATTTTTTGACATAAATCTAAACTAAATTGTAACGCTGCTTATTAAAGACAGTTTCACAGAGTGTTTGCTCGTTTGAAGTCCATTTGCCCACAGAACAGGGGACAGCTGAGAATAGGAAGATCTTCATTGAATTTCTTGTGAATAGATGAGTAAATATTTTCTTTAAATTAACGGACGGGATTGCGATTCAATTGCGTCTAGTGTTTACCTGGGTCCCGTTATTAAGCCTCAAACTCTTAAAAGTTTAAATTCAATTCAGTATTGACATATGTATTCATATTCATTGCTTCTTATGATCTAAAATAACTATGATTCTTGTCACTGACAAACATAAAATAATAATTTTAAACCAAAATGGAATAGAATGTTTTTTTTTTTACGGGTCTATAAGGGAATTTGAACGGGTCGATTGTTTGTCAAACCCTTAACTATGTTTGAACAACCCGATCGTAAAGGTAAAGTGGAAATTAAACATAGGGAATTTTTTATAAAATAAAATAATAGTTACTCGGCTAAACGGCTATGTAAATTAAAACGGAAGAAGCTACTTATTCGATTCAAATAAACGTGACAAATTATTGTTTTTTAGTTCCTTATTTGGATAATTAGATAAATAATTTAAAAGAAAAATTATTTAATCATAACTGCAATAAATTTTTCATGCAATTACGATATTAAAATGCACATGTTTTCCTTCAAATATGAAAAACATTTTCTTAGAAGGAAACAGAAATTATGTTACAAGAATAAATCAAGATGTGTCACAATGTAAATGCATTCCCAGAAGGCAGTAAATAGTAATGCAGTACGTAATGAGTAAATTTATTGCTAGTGTTTGCTTCAACTCGGAAAATTTTGCTTTGATTTAGAGCTCACTGGGGAACAGAAAGTTCGAACTGAGCATGAATTTGAAAAATTGCATGAAACTCATATATTTTAACATATTATTGGATGTCACTTTAATGGATTATTCGAAATATGATAGACACTAATTCTCAATACAAATAAAGTAAAATATTACATACTTAGACAACATTACAGTTGCTAAAACATCTAGAGAATTTTTAAGGTTATATAGTAATTCAAGAAAGCAATACTTAAACATTTTTAAATATATTTAATATTATTTGTTGTGTAACTCTTTGCCGCTAAGTGTTGTCAATTCAAAATCTCTAAATATATTTTAAAAACGATTAAGAACCCATATATTAGATGATTTTACTGATCTTGTTTAATATCACTACTGTTTATTAATTGTAATTTTAATTGTAGTTACAATTTTTAAAATTTCCTTTGTAAGCGAACTTTGTTCTTTTTGGAAACTTCTTTATTTGTTGAGTTTTGAAGATTACATTTATTTATTTATTTATGTATTTGGTATATTACATAATTATTCATTCAAGAGTTAGATGTTAAATAATTTACGACGTCTATTTAAAATAAAAGTGTTTTTACACTTAAAATATAGGAGTGAATGTTAATTCTCGTTCACAGAGAATTTTAGTTTGATCTATTGAAAATAAATAAAAAACACTAGTTCGAATTTAAAAAGGAATGAAAAATATTATAAAAAAACCAGTTAAAACACTGTCACTATACAAATATCACAATTAAAATATGTGAATTTTCTATCACTATACGAATCCGCTTTAAATTTCTAGACTAAAAAAATATCAAAAATGTTGAATTTGACGTTTAAATAAAACAAAGACAAATTGTAAACGGTACTTGACTCAAAATATATGAAAGCTTCTTATAATTTGTTACGATTCCATACAATATTATATGTTTGAAAAAATAATAAAATTATATAATATAATCACAGTGGCCGTTACATTAAATTATACGCGCCATAAAATATTTCCTTATTTCCCTATCTTACATAATCTCAATATCGCCAAAAATAATAAATCCAATAAACCTTAAGTCGACACACGTCGTGCGAAAGATTCTTGTTCACATTATTTACCCTTGACTGATCCACAATGATTCGCAAACGGGATTTTGTAATTTTATTATATTTTTCTATTGATTGGTGGTCTTTTTATATGACATTGATTTATCCTTCTTCATTGAATGAATATTCTTATGTAGGTTTTTTATAATAAAATATCTGATTTCTTTATTTTTCTCTTATGGAATCAAAATTTTAGTCATGTCTTTGACTCTAATTATTTAATTTTATATATTTTTTTCATTTGATGATTTAAACATTTAACAGCATGTACGCTTTTTTTGTGCGCACTGGGAAAAAATGCTTTACGCATCCCCTCTCCGTCGGGAGACGGGGAGGGGTATGTGGGACTCCCCGGGAAAAGGTTTCCCGGTATACCCACTAAAACAACCCAGTGGCGCTCCGACCTCGCCTGGCTGACAGGGGGCTGGGAATCCGGTTGCATCCAGCCCCAGCATGTACGCTTACCATAACTTTGAAAAGTCATACCACATAAAGAGCGTTTTTGTTTATCGTTTATAAATATGCATATTGATATTATCATATGCGAAGATTTATGAATGAAAATGAAGAGCGGCCCATGTTTAGTATGATGATTTGAACTTGTGGCACTTGTACATTGAATAAAAATATTTTTAAATGTCTGCAAAACAAAACATGTCTAAATCTGTATCAAATCATGAGTAATACAAAAATGAGTATTCCTATTTACTAAGCAAAGCTTTATTTAATATTGAAAATATAGGAAAATACTTTATAGTCAAAAAATCTCCTCTTAAATCTTTAAAAAGAAAATCTCTAAAAAGAAAATATTCTTCAATATAGTTATTTTCAGAACCACCGCTGGCTTTTATCGATTCACTCAGAAAACTAGTAACAGAAGGGTATGTTAAATGTTCTGACATTTAGATTTCGATGTGAAGGGAAAGAAAGTTGTTGTCGATTGACTTAAGGAAAACATAAGATTTTTATTAAAAAAAACTCTTTCGGCAAAACTATCCTGTACAAGCCACTTTATGTATCTGTAGCAACATTATTTTAACGGTAAAACTTTGCCATTTTAAACATAAAAGTTTAAACTGCTACAATTTAATGTAGGATTTTGTTTGCGAGCATAGTAATGAAACTTGTTATTTTAATTTACTCATTTCTAAAAATGCAAATAATGATTTTTTAGTTTCTTTTGTTATATAAGTTGTTTATGTATAGTAAAGTGAAATAATGATTTAATTAATTCAACATGACAAAATACGAAACAACTTTTACGCTAGAAGTTCAATTATAAATCCCAAAATAAATATTTTTAAACTTAACAAGATTTTCTATGTTCAAAGCTTTGTAGCGAAATTGAAATTCACATCTAAAAGCGAGATGACTCTAGATTATTCTTATTTTATTCAAATTTAGTACGCTTTGTACAGGGTGTGCACAATATGTTTGCATACGAGACATTAGTGAAGCGCTTTGTTAGAGAACAAGCTTACTTATTTTCGTTTACATAAGTTTTGGAAAGTTACCAGCATTATGACGGGTAACTTTACTTACAATTTTATATGGTAACGATTTGAATTACATATCGTAAAAAACATTATTTCTTGATTACAAATAGTAAAATTATTAACTTAAAATGTATGTTGTATTAAAGGAAAAATTAAATCAGCTGAATCTCTCAAACGTCGGTCACTCTACATGTACGATTTTGTCCCCAGGGCTTAGAAATAAAGGGACAGATGGTATTCTGTTCTGAGTCCGATTCCCTACTTTTTGTTGGATCGCCATTTCTTGATGGCCTCGAAGGGCTAACTGGGCGAGGCCTATTTATATCAGACATCCCATTACACGATGCCACGAGAGATGTCATCTTAGTCAGCGAACAGACAAGGGCGCAGGTTCGTGTTTTTTTATTATTTTGACACCAATTTTGAATTGTTTTAAAAGATTAATTCTAAAACTTTCTTTTTTTTGTCTTAATATTAATTCTTGAAATCTAAAATAAAATGATTGTAATTCAATTAATTACATATTTAATTTACTATTTCTACAAAATAATATTCATAAAAAATGAATAATTGCGATCAATGTTATTTACTCAATACATCATCCGTATATGTTATAGTAAATATTTGTATATATATAAAATATCTTTAAAACACACAACTGGTAAATTTTAATAATTCATATAACACGATTCAACATGTTGTGTAAACATATTCACAGAAGTGATTTCGCAATTTTTTTTATATATAAAAATGTTGTTCAAATTAACTTTACTTTGTATTTTCCTATAAAATATGATAACTGTCATTTAATATAACGATACAATATAGTTTAATACAATCATATTAAAAATACATACTCAAATTATAACACATCAACTTCTTACGAAAGAAAAATATTAAAGGAAAATTATTTTTATAAAATATTTGGATTAAAGCACTTATAGTGTGAACACACTCTAAAGTGAATGTATGAAAATAGACCAGTATATTTCTTTTGTATAGGACGGCCTCCGTAAGAGGATGGACAAACTGAAAAATTCAATAGTAGAAACGAGCAATTCTGTTGACAAGGAAAGGGAGAAAAACGTCAGTTTACTGCATTTGATTTTCCCACCTCACATCGCAAAACGTTTGTGGTTAGGTAAGTTACAATAACAAATTTGCTGATGGTTTTTATAGGATCAATATATAGTTATAATGAGATTTATATCATAATCATTATATGATTATCTTTATTATGATTCGATAATAGTTGAAGGCATGTCGATGATATATATTTCAAGAGATCCTACTTGGGGTTTTATATATAAAAAAAATACATGTTTTTTGAACTTTAACATAATTTAATTCTCATTTAATATTTAATTTTAAAATGTTCATAGTATATTTATGCATTCGTTTATAGAACATCTCTTTTATTTCTTCCAGTAATAAGCTTTTACGGGGCTGTGAAACTACGTAAACCAATTTCTTCAACACTATTAAAACGTATTGTTAGAAGCGAATAGTTATTACGTCCAGAAGACTGTTTTATTATAGAAATAACTTTCAAAGCGGAGATTCAAGATGTCTTATATTCAATTTGAAAGATACTTTATTACTGTGCCATAAATATTTCGTGTTTCAATAAATCCCTATTTTAAAAATCCAATATAACCTGATTTAGATATAATAAAAATTACATTAGGCTGTTAATAAATTGCAATTTATATTACTTATTTCTGAAGCTTGAACGATAATTTTAATACTGTTTTGTTATACAGGTGAAGTTATAGAAGCTAAAAGCCACGATGATGTCACGATGCTGTTTAGCGATATAGTGGGATTTACTTCTATTTGCGCCACGGCTACACCTATGATGGTTATTGCAATGCTTGAAGATTTATACAGCGTGTTTGATATATTCTGTGAAATTTTAGATGTTTATAAGGTATGCTCTGATTTCAATAACAAATATAAAAAAACACAAATGAAAAATCATTGTTATATTTTTAAGAAACGCCTTAGTTTGCATCCATTGAAAACTTCGGCATTATACAACCGAAATAGAGGTTTCTTAGTGGATTTTCTATCAATAAAAAATAGTTTGAAGGGAACATTCTTGATCTTGATTTTTGTGTTGAACTTCGAAAGCAAATAGTTATTATTTTTTTTAAGTTTTTAAAGTATTTAATTAATATAAATATTAATTAAAAATGGGATTCTCCTTTTAAATTAAAAAGTTACGGCATAGTGTGATGGTCTAACAACTCAGTCTAGAATTGCTATAAAATGTTAGTGCCTACTTAGTAAACTGAGTCAAAGACTATATTACATCTAATTTAATAATACATTTTCTCTATTTCAATAAATTACAGATTTGTTGGCATCCTCTCAAACAAACCTTGCCAAATCCTTAAATATACGCATAATGATTTTTCCTCAGATTTTCACGAATCTTTTCAAACCTTTGTGTTCTTATCAAAATCTTTCTTACATCTTCAGAAAAGATTTCTTAGCTTATTCAGACAAAAGAAAGTATACATCTCATCATGAAACATAAATGTCATTTTTTTATATACAATACGAATAGTAAATAGATCGGATTTAATCGACTTTTTAAATTGTGCGTTATTGTATTAATAATAAATAATAGTAATTAATTTGTATGAAGGTGGAAACCATTGGTGATGCGTACTGTGTAGCAAGCGGTTTACATCGTAAAATCGAAACCCATGCACCACAAATAGCCTGGATGGCGCTCCGCATGGTAGAAACTTGTGCACAACATCTCACTCATGAAGGAAATCCTATTAAGGTAATAAATATTAAACCATATACAAAGTTTTAACCTTTTTACTAGGTTATAATATTGACTAATATTATAAATTTGTTTTCAGATGAGAATTGGCCTTCACACAGGCACGGTTCTAGCGGGTGTGGTCGGTAAAACGATGTTAAAGTATTGTCTTTTCGGACACAATGTCACTCTTGCTAACAAATTTGAATCCGGCTCAGAGCCTTTGAAAATCAACGTCAGTCCAACTACCTACGAGTAAGTGTACTTTCTTAATTTTTAAGTTTATTTAATAAAACATTAATACTATTTCAAAGACCAAAAATACGAAGTAGGAGTAGATGCAATCTCACCAAAAACATGCCTGTTAAAAAGGGGGCCAAGTTCCAATCGGCTAATTGTTTGCCTAAAAAAGGGGTGAAATCCAATCTAATGCCAAGTTTAGATGCACTTTGAAATCGATCATAATCATCTTCATCAACAGAATGATCCACTGGTAAACATTTGCCATTCCCAAGACTCGCCACCACACCCAGTCCTCTGCCTTCCACATCCAGCCACTACCCGCCACCTTATTCACGTCAACGGTCCATCTGGCCGAAATTCACTTTACCATACACCCAACTTAAAATATGGTATAGTTGTGAAAATACGTAGGTGCTTGGTTAAAAATATCTAAAATTATAATACTTCTAAATTTGAACTTGGCAGGTTAATTTAATTATTTAAATTATATAATATTTAAATTATATAAATATAAATAATTATATAAATAATAAATTAATGATAAAATTAATTAAGTGTTACGTACAGCACAAAAACCTGCCAAGTTCAAATTGAGAAGTATTATAATTTTAGATATTTTTAACCAAGCACCTACGTATTTTCACAACTATACCATATTTTAAGTTGGGTGTATGGTAAAGTGAATTTCGGCCAGATGGACCGTTGACGTGAATAAGGTGGCGGGTAGTGGCTGGATGTGGAAGGCAGAGGACTGGGTGTGGTGGCGAGTCTTGGGAATGGCAAATGTTTACCAGTGGATCATTCTGTTGATGAAGATGATTATGATCGATTTCAAAGTGCATCTAAACTTGGCATTAGATTGGATTTCACCCCTTTTTTAGGCAAACAATTAGCCGATTGGAACTTGGCCCCCTTTTTAACAGGCATGTTTTTGGTGAGATTTTAATACTTTTTTTCAAGAAATCGTACATATAATCGTACTATACAGCCGTACAATGCATAACTTACAGCATGAAACATACAGCTACCATCTGATGGCATAGGAATTACCCTATGTGGTATATCTCCGCCAACCACCGAAAGATGTACAATTTCCATCGTTGGTAAATGAATAGTAGAAAAGAAATAGAGTGAATTTGTGCTTTTAACACACACAAGTAATCAATCAATAAGCAATATCAAAATTAATCCTTTAGTAAGTCAAATCAGTGATCCATTTAATCGTAAGCGTAACCATATATAAGATAACAAGACATAAGTATAGAAAGAAATAGAAAGAAATTACCATCGATTCCTTATCGACTTTCATTCATATATACTGCAGACAAAACAATATCGCGATTCAATTATACCGCTAGCGCCATCTATCGAAAGTAATTTATAACAATATAAACCTGATTTTTTAGGTAAGCAATATTTAAATAAGTTATACAGTGTGCATTATGTATACATGACAATATTTTATATCCCTTATATGTATATATATATATCAGTTCTTAAGAAGCACCCCACACTTTTTTCACAATAATATTAATTTAAAAATAAATTAACAAACAATAAATGGTATTTATGTGAAAAAAAGCGTGATGAGCTTCATATATCACTTTTTGAGAAGCGCCCCACGCTTTTTTTTCAATAATACCATTTATTGTTTATTTTAAACAATTTTAATTAAATTGATTTCCAACGTTGTAAAGGTTAAATTAGTTTCCACGCGGTTTCTTTCATCATTGGAGCGTGTTTTTTAGTTTTTTTTAAACTATATTTATTTTTTATTTTTTAGTTTCATTTATCACCGATTGATAGATGTACTCATATGATTAATTATTAATATTTCATTATTATGTATTTTATTGTGCTGAGCTGAGCGCCTATATAAAGGTTTTGATTACCTGTCAGTGAGACAGTGCCAAAATTAGCTATTTTCACAGGGTCATATTTCAGGATCTACTGAAGTTTTATCTATGAAATTTGGCATACTGCTTTAGGACTAGTATATGATTACGTAGGTACAATTTTATCTCTGTACTTGCAATAGACACTGAGCTACAGGGGGTCAAAAGTGGGTCGAATTTATTAAAAATTCGATATTTAGAATTGAGGCAACTCACGCTTGACCGATTTCTTAAATTTCTTAATTTTTTGTTAATCTACATATAACACACAACCTGTGTACCAAATTTCATAACGCTAAAACAATGGGAAGTGGCCTAGAGGTTTTGATTACCTGTCAGTGAGTCAGTGCCAAAATTAGCTATTTTCACAGGGTCATATTTCAGGATCTACTGAAGCTTTATCTATGAAATTTGGCATACTGCTTTAGTTCTAGTATATGATTACATAGGTAAAATTTTATCTCTGTACTTGCAATAGGCACTGAGCTACAGGGGGGTCAAAAGTGGGTCGAAACGGTTCGTGTAAATATAGTGCACGGCATGCGCCGGCCTGTGGAACTTGGCCGGCGCACTACCGTGCGCTTAGATTAATATTAATATTGGATACTGTTAAATATTTTTAAAAAAAAATTTAATGTATACTCTTTTATACCTAATTCCCTGCGAATCTGGTTAAACAATTTAAGCCTAATTTTATTATTATGACTGAGTAACAGCTGGATACATCGATATGATGACTAACAAAAAAAAATGTAACACGCGAACGCCTTTTTATCCAAGTTCGTAACGAACAATATAACGTAATAGGAACAATGCTTTATAACTTATGACGTGCATTAATTTCTGTAATGGAAATGAAATGAGAGTCTTTTACATGTGACACGCGATAAATTCACATGCTTATAACATGAGGGCTGGAATATAAATTAAATATCAATTTTAAAACGTATTTACAGATAAATACAATTACTTTATGAATGTTAAGCAGCATTTAAGTTACTTATGGCAGTTTCATCTTCATGTATTTTTTTTAAAACTTACTTTTTGGACTTGGTGTCAATTTTTATCAATAAAAAGCAATTGGCACTCATTACTGTTAAGCCAAGTACAGATCTTGTTCTTGAATTTTTTTGTATGGACTTTTATGATAGTATATAATTAAAATTATTGTTACACAAGAATTGAATTTCGATTATATTAAATGTTTTCAATTTGTTATGTAATAATTGTTATAAACCTGAATACACTATTACTTTTGTATACATTAAAATAATTTAATCAATCAAATGAGTAAACATTTCAATACGAAATAGAATTAATTAATTACTTTTCATTCGTCGTATGTCATCAGTTTATAACATATTCAAATTATAAACCTCAACTATATTGATGCTAGTGGTCCAGAAATTCGCATATTTAATTGCTTTCCATCTCGATTCCCGGATATGTGTTAAGTTGCTTTAGTTTGCTCATTTACCGTTCATTATATGACGCACAATTTCATGGCTTATTACGACATAGCGTAAAGCATATTATTGTTTAAATATCCTTCTATACTATATACTATCTTTAAATTATATACATAAGCTAACAAACAAATACGTATTAATTTACTGAATTTGTCATAAACGTTTAAATTTATTGAATAGAAAAATAAAGATACATTACTTTGTTTTAATTACATATTACAGTAGTGTTTATACGAAAATAAAAAATTGCATTCCTTTAACATAATGTTAGAATGTGTGTTTGCTAATTATGCAAAAACCAAAGCATCTATTATGATTGAATTTAATGTAGCATACCGCTCAAATCACAAATAAGCTAGATTTGTTTGCGACATTTAGGCGGATTTAGGTCGAGATTCCACAAAAAACTATTGTTTTATATATTTGACCACTTATATCATTCGTACCAAATAATGTATATGCCAAAAGAGAATAAACATTGAAAAAAAAATCCCCGGAAACGAGCTACATCAATGTATTTATCTCTCATCTTTATTACGGCTTACCAAAAAACCTTTTTGGAACAAAGTGCTAACCAGAAATTCCGCATGTAATTCATAATTCACGCAGGTGGCTAATAAAGTTCCCCGGGTTTGAAATGGAACCCCGCGACCGTTCGTGCCTGCCGAATTCCTTTCCCAAGGACATCCCAGGGACTTGCTACTTTCTACATAAATACAGCCATCCGGGGACAGAAGCAGACGCTCCCCAGGTATGATATGATTTATGATAGTTTGGAAATATATATCATTAATTTAAAAGCACTCAACTCAAATGCTTATTTAATAAAACTTATTATTTCGAAATGGATTCGCTTAACTCTTTACAGTAAAAGTGACATTTTCATTCATACTTTTTGAAAATTTCAATACATAAAACTTCCACATAAAATTAGTAAAACAACATTCAAATTTTAGTTAAATCTAGTTTATGATTGATTGATTCGTTAATATGCCCATAAAATATCCAGGTTTATTAATCTTCTACCCTTGCTCATATTTGACCTGGCTTAATCTGATATTTCGAACCCTCATTAACAAGATATGATAGTTCTGGAGATATAAAACCTTATCATGAAATTTTGATTAAATTCTGGCATGTACATAATTACATCTATTCCTTAAAATATTTTACGATATTACTCAAAAGAATAGTGTAACTTTTTTACCTTACATGAATTCATGAATAAATGTATAACAGTTATTAACATTTGTACATATTCATTACTAATCCCGGTTCGATATAATTAATCACGTTTTCATTTCATTGAATGTTATAAGAAATTCATTAACATCTAAGATCTATACTAAATAATTAATCAATGTTACTTGGCATGTAACATTTAATAAAAGGTGCGAATAAATTATAATATTTTTTAACAGGTTAAACATATAGAGGATGCTTTAAGAGATTTCGGGATTGGACAAGGCAAGACAACTGAAGTGGATTGCGATGAACCGACTTAGTTTAAATTATTATAATAAAAACATTCCAATACAAAGAGAGATTTGTAAATAGTTATTTCTAAGGCTTACTATAAGTCGAATATTTTTGAAAGGCTTTTAAAAATGTGTTTTTAATAAAATTAACGATGAACAAAAATAAAAATTTAAGCTACCTGAAAATAACTGAAATATATTTTAAAGCAAAAATCAAAAGCCTATACAAAACACCCTTGGGAAGAACGTCAAACGGGTTGATTCAGAACTTTGTTCATCAAAATAAAGCTTTTCAATTTATAAACAATTACTCCGGATTTCAGGTGTTTTTAAACGTTTCTATTATACAGATTTTATTTAAACAAACATTTCGGTGATTGCTTTCGCTTTGAATGAATTTGATTTTGAAATGTCTAACATCTGTAAAATTTAAGTATCATTATACATATTACAGATTAAAATACACCAAAATATATAAGACATGAATTTTCACGCACAGAAATGTAAACAAATACATTTTATAACTGTATATTTTATAATATTAATATAAATTTAATAATCATTTTTTCAACTTGTTGGAACAAATAGCCATAACTATTTATAGTTCAATTAGTCTAATCCGGGCTTAGAACGTTAACTTAAATACCAACAGTAATAACGTAAATCATAACTAAATCTTCGTAGAAGCTGGTGTTAAGTCCCATCCCACACGTTTGTAATCTTTACAAATTATTTTAGTGGACATTCCTTAAGCACTCATTGCTTTTGTATATTTCTCTAGTTATATAGTGTAGATAAACATATATTCTAAGAATATCATTGTGACTTAAAGCTGAAAATAAATCTTGGTTATTTAAATGTGTCATTATATACATAATTGTATTGTGATTAAAGTAGGTATTTTAGTAGATACGCAAAACTAATAATCTCAGTAGTGAAATAAGTAGTATATATTTATCACGTCGCATCGTTATGATTTTTTTTATTAAAATATAATCGATTCCAAGTATAGTTCAATGATGAGCTAGAAATATAGACATTGACAATTTTTATTTGATAACAATTTGAAATATAAAAAATATATCTGCTTCAGTAGAACATATATTGAGACATTTATGTTGCGTTACTTTAAATAAATCGTGATACGTCTAAAATATTTTAAATAATAATAGGAAGCTTTGTCACTATAAATATAAGAATTTTGTATATAAATTTGAATCTGGGATAATTACGACTTATTTAATGATATAAAGCATTCGCCGTAGCGTAGTATAAGGTCTAGATACTTGGCACTATAAGCACTGTATAATGAAAACGTGTACTCAGCATATATAATATAAATATAAGAAAATTTATATGTACATTTAGTTTGTTTCTTAAACCTCTGTAAATTATAGAATATTATTACAAATTTTATTTGTACATAGTTTCTGTGGCTTTATATGTTAATAGTTGTAATGATGATATATTCATAATCTTTTAATTGATATTTTCTTGTATAACATTCCGTTATCATTAATTGGTAGAAGTAATAATGTTCACATCATTAAAAATACTTTGCTGAACCGTGTGTAAAGTCGCCCTTATTGGACCAAATGCTAATACAAAGTTCATTTGAATTATGCACGTTCATCTTTAGAGATATGCACCAGAAAGATATTTGAAGTTTATGGACTGTTCCCTACATTACACTTAAGTTAGTTCTATAATTAATTAATCAATGTTTTAGGCACGAGAACGGAAATCTCTTTAACAACAGTTTCCCAAACTTGGAGGAAAATTCAACAGATTAGATCTAATTTTATTATATCGATTATAAAACACACATAAGTAATAATGCCTCAGTTATACATATATTTGTCAAGAAAGTTACTTCAATTCAATAGCTTATAGGTCATATAATGTAATTAAAGTTAATAGTATTAAGGACTCAGATATGTGAAGGAAAAAAGCGTATGTTCTAAAATAGTATAATGCTTACTGCGAACACATTCGACTTGTAATTTTAATATATCGTATACACTTGTCCCTGTAGTTGAAATTATATATTGTAAATAAAATAATTCACATTTACTATATTACAGTAGACTTATATTTAAATCCATGTTATAAGACACTGCTTCGTTATCATAACATATCGCTTAGAAATTTAGTCACATTTTCTAGTCGTATATAAAGTAAATTATGTACTTACTTGTAGACAATAATGTTTCAAAAGACAACTATTCTTTTTGTGTTTGTGCATCTATCAAAAATAGTCCTCTAAAACTTAAATAGTAATCTAAATATTTAAATTCGTTCGGAAATTGATAGCATCAAGTAATTTTTTGGAGACCTAAGGATTTTTAGTACTCTGTGTGTGCTTTTAACGATAAATTTTGGTTAGGGGCTATTTTAAAGACTTTGAAACATATATTCTTATCACCTAAGGATATTTAATATTTGAACTGTATATACTTTAGATGGCTGTAACACATTTATATTACCTCTTTAAGGTATAGAATACCTAAGCTTTAACTCTCTCTATAGAAGTGTGTTCTAAATGTACTATTTACGTTTATGGATATGAATTGTTATTTTGATCTAAATTAATTTTAATTGTTAGTTTGTTCTTGTTTTAGATTAAAAAATAATATTTTTTATGTGTCTGCCTTCTCGTAGAGTAGTATTGTACCTTAGATATTATGTTTATTTGTAAAGAATATAATCTCACTCTGTGGATGCTATTCTAAAACTCTTACTATAAGGTGACAATGCACTGTTAGAAAGCTATGAATAAAAATGTTTCTTTCATACTTTTTGTTTTATTGTTCTCCAAATATCTATAATGTTCGAAAAAATTTAGTCCGTACAATAGTAAACTATTTTGACTTAGGGACTTGAAATTAATATTTTCCTTGTATATGAAGATTTAATCTCTTTATAAAAGTATTTTCTTAAAGTCAGTATAGAATAAAAAAATATATGGACTTCTGTTTAGTTTATATATCAATAAATTAAACATATTTTAAAGAATAATTTCGAACAAAATTTAATTAAAATTTTCGGAGGAAAACGACTAAAATGAATCTTAAATTATAGCTTACTCAGAAAAAATTTCTAATTTTATTTAAAGTTTAGTAGGTACAATTAAACATTTTTTTTTTCTAAGTGTTAATGAGTCTTATTCAAATGTTAAATCAAGTATTTGGCGCTCTTTACATTTTTGTCGAATGAAATTAATAGCATAATCAACTGTGCAGAAGATATGTAAAATTAAAACTTTTTTTGTTAGTTAGTAGAACACACTTGTCCATAAAAAAGGGAAACAAAACAATCAATAATTACACTTGGATTTCCATAACTGATATATGGTAGACGAAATATAATTCTCAACTTTTATAATTGGAGAGATATTCTTCTTCTTCTTCTACCTGGCAATTTCCCAGCTATAGCCAGGGTCTGCCTTATATGTTGTGAATAGTTTTTGGCTATTTGTTTTTACGACCGGCCGCCTGCCTGACATCAACCCTCTTTTAGAGAGATATTATATATACATAATAAAATCATACAACATACATACGTATATATGTTATATCAATTATGAACTTTATAACCCATCTACTGATTGAAAAATTAATGAATTCAATAAAATAATAAGCACAAAGACAAGAAAAGTCGTAATCTTTGTGTTATTAACCTTTGCTTTATAAATTGAAAAAGTTTTTCTATTACTTTATTTTAGCCAAAGTTTATAATACCAAATAATAATTTATTTTATTTTATTTAGTTTTATAATGCTACTAATAAAATCTCTCTTTAGAACAATACTTTCATTCGTATTTAAAAAAAACAAATGTTAACAGAATTGCGTCATAAATACATATTTCTATAAAATCAAGCTTCAATACTTTCGGAAGAAAACAAAACTATTTTTCATTTGTAACATGTTTATATGTATCTATGTTTAATAAATTTACTGACTTATATCAAAAATTATCCCGGCGAAATATCTCGTGAGGTTAAAACCAGTATAGACATCTTTTTCTTACTACTTTTTATTTAAAACTAATTTTGATTTACATCCATGTATGAAGTATGAACTATAAAATCTTAAAATACGTTTTAGAAATAAGTGACCTGAATTATTTTCGAACAGAAAGATTCTTAAGAGCTCAAACAATAGCATCAGTTGCCCTATTAAAATAACTTTTTGATGCATTTATTAAGCAACGGATATTTGAATAAATTATGTATATACATTATAAATTTCGTACTAACGCTTTGTTTTTAATAAAGTCTATATAACTATATATTAAATAGAAAGATGCTTTAGTAATTGAATATTCATTGTATGTCTAAACATTCTAACATATAAATTTAAATAAGAGCTTTTAATAAAGTATTCATGAAGTCATTCTCAAAGAACAAAAGAAAAGCGAATATTTTGCATGAAATAAATTAGGCTTAAGTGATAAGAGGGACACTTTGCTAAATTAAATGACATGTAGAAAAGAAAGATTTGCTTTATTATACGACTAAGAGGTTGCTCTTGAATTAATTTTTGCGATGAGCGTAATCCGGTTTAATGTTAGTAGACAAGGTACTAGAAACAATTCGTTATCTTATTATATAGTGAAATGAATAAGAAAGGTCAAGCTTTCATAAACAAAATGATAAAAGGTATTCAAATGTAAGCAATCATATACTCGTAGGATTAATTATCCCCATTACGAAACATAATTAATCATTCTAGAATGTACCCCAATCTTGTCTATTCCTAAATCAGTCCAACCGGGATTTCTAAAGAGCGTTTTAAATAATGGTCACAAAATTCGTATTGTAAATGATATCGAAGTCGAAGTATAGGTTTTTTATGCATAAATAAAAAAAAAGATGTGCATAAAAGAACTTTTATAGTATAAATAATAATTGAGTCACGTTTAATTTCAAGCCACGTCACTAGATCAGATTCGAATTTTTATTTTATAAAATAACTCACAAATGAAGAATTATTACAAAAATAATTTTCTTTGTATGTATTTTAT